CTTGTAATTTGTTTATTTCCTATGCTGATTTACTCGCCTACAAAATCACCCCAATCATTATATTTTTTCCAAATAAACTATTCAAGTCATGTGGTGTTTTTTTTTTCATATCGCAATATATATCGCAGAAAAATAAAATATCGCAATGTGAGTTTTTTTTCCCGATATCGTGCAGCCCTAATTTCGATATAAGCCAAGAGGAGACTAGTTTTCCTTTGCTAAAGTAAGGAAACTACTGCCTACTTATACTCACGCTGTGATCAGCGGCAGCTGGATGCAATAATTGCATGCCAATGTGCATTGGCTCGTTTAGTTTACACTCGAAGTAGATTGGTCTCTCTAAACGAGATCCCAATTCGTCGGTCATCCGACGTGACGTCTTCGTTCCCTCCTTCAGGGAACGAGGGTTACCATACGTAACGTGTTGTTGTTGTGTAGACCTAACTAACACCATACAACAAGGTGAGCGCGTTAGCTAACACGACATTAAATGTTACCAGTGTTTTAAAACTCGTAATATTGAGTTAATACATTTAAAAACACAAACCAACACATTCTCACCTGTGAAAGGCTATCCCGTTTCTTCGGGAATTTAAATCCCAACAGTTTTTACAACCATCGGCTCTGCAGGATTGTGGCATCTTTGAATATTCATTGATTATTATGGAGAATGACGTCAAGTTGACTGTTGCAAGATGGCGGACATGTCTACGTGCTTGGAGCTGTCGAATGAAGAATCTACCTATACATATCTATGGTATATATAGGTTGAGACTTGAGACCTTTCACAGAAACCTCTCCTGTCTCATTCTTTTCATAAACAAAATAATTGCAACACCGTAAATGATGAAAGCGGCATGAACATAGAGTTTCATGTTATTTAACAACATATAATTTTATATGTCGAGCCTGGTAATCCTAGGAGAGTACCCTGACACGTAATTGTACATTTAAATGCTGACAACTAAACACTATCGTAACTGTTTAAGCTAATGTTAGCTAGCTAGCGATGCTATCTTGTAAACGACATCAAAATGGTATTCTTGATAATCGATAACTTCATAGTAATGAACTGAATATGTACACAGGGTTGCCAACTTTGGTTGCCTCACAAAGTAGTTTGGCATTCACAACTAAACACACAGCGTCTCCACAACATGGCAGCACCAACAATACTACAGCGAGAATAAAAGTTACGCCTTCTTTCTTTGCATATACATAATCCTAGGAGAGTACCCTGACACGTAATTGTACATTTAAATGCTGACAACTAAACACTATCGTAACTGTTTAAGCTAATGTTAGCTAGCTAGCGATGCTATCTTGTAAACGACATCAAAATGGTATTCTTGATAATCGATAACTTCATAGTAATGAACTGAATATGTACACAGGGTTGCCAACTTTGGTTGCCTGGCTGGAGTGAGATCAGTTACAGTTGTGCAGTAAAATTCACTTTAAAAATTCACTTTTCATTCATGAAGACCACATTAAAAAATGTGCAATAAATGCATCTCCTGGCAGAAAACAAAGACTTTTTAAAGAGGTCATATGACGTTGCTAAAAAAAAAACATTATTTGTATGAACAAGCAGCTTTTAACACGCCAAGACAAAGGAAAACAAACCAGCAGATGGAAGCAGAGGTTCACTCATTAGCTCAGCTGCCATTTCAACCTAGTTTTTTTCAAGTCTTGCTTTTGGATTTATTATAAAATGACTATTTGTAACACATTTTAGTACTTTTACTGTACTGACGTATAATGTATAGCAAGTGCAGGAAGCCACAAAGTCTCATGTCATTTAAAAAATAAATAAATAATTAAGCAAAGACACCAACAGCCTAGAAGGGTTAATTATTTAAATACTTAACTAGTTAACTACAAATTAAACAAGTTAATTATTAATGGTATAACAATTACATAATAATGCATTAAATATTTTGAAATATTTTTAGATTTAACTTAAAAACTTAAAACTTAAAAATAATTTTATCTTTAACTGTAGAAGCTGCTAAATAGACTTGCTGCTGTAGTTTTGTTACTCTGCATTTACTCTGAATCACTTAATGCACAGATTTATTTTTGACATCGGCTTGTCAGATAGTTCACTCCGTCCATTGCTACAGTTATTACCGTCAATCACAGCAGTGACTCGCAGAATAATTTAGAGGATTCACTGGCTTAATATTTTACACTCGCGTTTGTCATTCCTGAAACAGTATACGGTAGTATATTGTATACAGTATGGTCCTCTTAGACAAACAAAACTTTTCTTCAAATTGTGAATGGATTATGTAGAGATTTTGACAGTTGACCGGAAATGACTGAGCTGGCTTATCTAAAACCAGGAAGTAACCGTGCATATAGTTCATTGTGTAAATAATTAAGTTATAATTAATACATTTTAAATTAATTATTCAAGCTTGCAGAAACCACTTAAATCACAAATAAATGTATAGAGCTCAAATGGTTAATTCCCTATTAATAATCAATAATTCCCTATTATTAATCATAATTTTAGTCAAAATACCAGTTGCTACAGGTAGTTGCAAATGTAAAACCATAATAAAGGAGTACGAAATCTCCCGAAGTGAGTTTAGTATTTGTCTGTTTAATAATTCCCCTTTTTTAAATGACCGTGTTGACAATTTCTGTATAGTATTTTGGAGAAAAATATACTATATGGTTATTATATGGTTAAATGTATGGTACATTTGTCGAAGGGTAGGACATCTTACAAAGTGTAACAGGTAACGTTAACTTATCGGAAACAGACTGGAAGGAAGAAGCATGGCTAATGAAACGACAAATGCATCAAAACGTATCGCACATCTAGGTATTTTCGTAAAGTGCATAAATAGATAATAAACAAACGATAAGTGGGTGAAAGAATTAAAAAAAAAAAACAACGCTTACATGACGCTCTATTGACCTGAATAGGATCAGGAAGGTTCAAGTGAAATGCTAACAAAGGTTAAGTAACGATCTCTGTCATCATCATCTGCCACTGTGGATCAATTACAGCCCCCTTTAAAACAAAAGACTCACCCTTTTGTTTCAAAACACCCCGATCCTGCTGTAATAAATGGGAAACTCGGTCGATCTCACCCCGTTGAATCGATTCAAATATACAACTTCCTGAAGACTGCAGCATTCTGCCACCATATATTTACGCCTTCTTCTGCAGGCTTAAGAAATTCTTGGCCAACTGTAAGAAATTCATTATAAAAGGATATCTTAATTGGTTTGGTGCGGCGGAAAAGTCTACATCCACGATAATATTCTCCCGTTAGATTATCAGTCATTCGATAATTGAGCGAATCTGATAATATGTAAATACCTGGTAAATACACTGTACAGATTTTATAGGAAACTCCGCCCTCTGGAGGTGGATGGGGTTTATGTTCAACCAGAGCTGGCTTATCTAAAACCAGGAAGTAACCGTGCATATAGTTCATTGTGTAAATAATTAAGTTATAATTAATACATTTTAAATTAATTATTCAAGCTTGCAGAAACCACTTAAATCACAAATAAATGTATAGAGCTCAAATGGTTAATTCCCTATTAATAATCAATAATTCCCTATTATTAATCATAATTTTAGTCAAAATACCAGTTGCTACAGGTAGTTGCAAATGTAAAACCATAATAAAGGAGTACGAAATCTCCCGAAGTGAGTTTAGTATTTGTCTGTTTAATAATTCCCCTTTTTTAAATGACCGTGTTGACAATTTCTGTATAGTATTTTGGAGAAAAATATACTATATGGTTATTATATGGTTAAATGTATGGTACATTTGTCGAAGGGTAGGACATCTTACAAAGTGTAACAGGTAACGTTAACTTATCGGAAACAGACTGGAAGGAAGAAGCATGGCTAATGAAACGACAAATGCATCAAAACGTATCGCACATCTAGGTATTTTCGTAAAGTGCATAAATAGATAATAAGCAAACGATAAGTGGGTGAAAGAATTAAAAAAAAAAAACAACGCTTACATGACGCTCTATTGACCTGAATAGGATCAGGAAGGTTCAAGTGAAATGCTAACAAAGGTTAAGTAACGATCTCTGTCATCATCATCTGCCACTGTGGATCAATTACAGCCCCCTTTAAAACAAAAGACTCACCCTTTTGTTTCAAAACACCCCGATCCTGCTGTAATAAATGGGAAACTCGGTCGATCTCACCCCGTTGAATCGATTCAAATATACAACTTCCTGAAGACTGCAGCATTCTGCCACCATATATTTACGCCTTCTTCTGCAGGCTTAAGAAATTCTTGGCCAACTGTAAGAAATTCATTATAAAAGGATATCTTAATTGGTTTGGTGCGGCGGAAAAGTCTACATCCACGATAATATTCTCCCGTTAGATTATCAGTCATTCGATAATTGAGCGAATCTGATAATATGTAAATACCTGGTAAATACGCTGTACAGATTTTATAGGAAACTCCGCCCTCTGGAGGTGGATGGGGTTTATGTTCAACCAATGAACGGAAGGGAGTGGAATGGCTAATGTTTCCTCTAGTGGGCGCTCGGCGGTCAAGGTGTTTTGCATCACTGAAGATAATCGTTTGAAATATGCAAAGTATTTAAATCCAAAGACTTGTACATAATATACAAATAAAACCTTACTTTAAAAAAAAAAGTTTTAATTTGTTTTCATATGATGCAACCGCAAACGACTGTGATTGGTTCAGCTACACCAGCGCGGGGAAACGTCACAAGTACCACATGACAAGGTCACTAGTCTGCTACAGACGTCCTGATGAGATTGTACACCTAAATAACGCCACTGAAACTTAAATATTCATTAAGAAATAAATAGGAGTAAAGAAATAATAAATAATATGACTCATCTTACCTGGCCAATTAGAATCAACCACTGACCGCTAAGCCTCGCCAATTATAACACATTTTCCCATTCTATCCACTCATTTCTGTTTTTAACATCTCACAGTCAATTTCAAAGTACAAATTAAAATGAGAGGCTAAAAATACTCTAAATAGTAGAACATGTCCCATTATGCACAAAGTGAAGTTTGAGTATATAAACTTAATGTTTATACTGACAATATTTTACATGTGAAAATCTAAACATATGAGTCTCTCAGATAATTGTACGAGAATTTAATCTATTACATTGTTTAGTCATTAGGTGATTTTCATTGTTCTTATTTTAGAAATATTCTTTATATTTGTCTAGTTTCCATGTTGTCTAGTCGTGTAATATTTTTGTTCTTAAACAAAATTACCACATGATGTCACTATTGCTCAACATCTGACGCATTTTAAATCACTTTAAACACCAGAAGGCATAGACACTATTTACGATCCCTCAGACTCATTTTTGATTGGTCGATTTTTAAATCTCCTTTTTGGAATAATATAACTAAAATCAGAGGTATTGCTTCAATAAAGTCTTCTTCACATGATCCTACTTTGTCTATTGAAGTGCTGAAAACACGCACACGCACACGCACACTCTCCTCCTTCTGCTTTTTTCACTAGGAAGTGAGGCACATGACCAGGCGCAGCTGACGTCAGAGTTTCATACTGCGCAAAGTTCAGGCAACAAGAGTAGGAGGCATGTCTCAGCCGGCCACTCACCGATTGCTGTGACATGGGAAGCCAGAGGAAAACCTTCTGTCCAGCCATACATCTACGTACACAAGCCTTAGCAAAGACTTGAGATGCCACCCACCAAACAACAGGTATGTGTGGGGTTACAGACGGACTAAACTGGAGTTTTGCCTAGGGTTCATATTAGTTTGAAAGGCTAATTCACATATCTCATAACATACTAATTTTGGCAGCTGTTGTTGTGAGGTTGCCTGCTGTCATAATTCAATTGTTTTTCTCATTTACGTGCACTCAAAGCATTTCTGTTGCTTAGAGACTCAACTTCTAGGAGGACAACAAAATAAAGATAAAATAAACAAGGAAGCTTGACTGATTTTAATCGGGTGCTTTATAAGCATGATTTGTTTGCCCTCAAACTAATTTGTTTGTATCAGGTTTAAACATTTCAGCAAGAGACAAGCCAACTATTGTAGAGCATTAAGAATATTTTACGCAGTGAATAAAATAATGAGATGACATTCATGTGCTGTATTTAGATATTGAGTGAATAAACCGGTGGGAATGTGCAGTGCAGACATGTCATTTCTTCAGGAATGTGAATTGTCCACCCTGTAGCAAAACAAGCTCACTTCTTTACATCACAAGATCCCATTAACATGTGAACAGCTGATTGTAAGATGTGATTGTCTTTTGGTAACAGAAAGAAGGCAGTTGCCGATTTGCCTTTTAATGAAAATATATTGTTCATTAAACATTAAACACTTCAGTTTCAGTGTTTATACTGTACATTCCTTTGTGGCAACTTCCTATAATAATGTTTTTTTTTGTTTCAGGTATCAAGTTAAAATTATAAAGCTGTAAAATTATCCCATTGTTATTTTTATTTATTTATTTATTTTAAGGAGCCAGTTGGAGAAATGGACCGAATCAATAAGGAGAACGGGGAACTTAGTGCGTCAGGGGAGAGTTCAGAGAGCATAGAAGTGAAAACTACCCAAATCCAAAGTGAGACAAATGGGGACCTGAAAGCACATGAAGATCCAGTGGTGCTTCTGAAAGATCAACTAACTCAGCTGGGTACTATAAGCCAACAGTCGCCAGAACAAAGAGACCAAGAGCTCAACAGACTTCTGCTTCTGTTCATCCAGGTACAGAAAATCAGTGAGCTGATTATTCAGTTGATCAAACATTATACATGGGCAGTCATTTAAATATGATTAATTGCATACAATATGTTTAGTTTATATACAAATTCATATATTTTACAAACACACACAAACACACTACTAGTCAAATGTTTGGGGCTGGTAAGATTTTTTTTGTTTTTGAAAGCCCAATGCTGCTTTTATTTGATCATATATAATACAGTAAAAACAGTAAAATTGTGAAATATTAAAATGTAAAATAACTGTTTTCAATTGTAATATATTTTAACATGTAATTTATTCCTGTGATGGCAAAACTGAATTACTCTCATGCCATAACTCCAGTGTCACATGTTCCTTCAGAAATCATTCCAATATGCTGATTTTTTGCTCAAAAAACACATTATTATCAAAGTTGAAGAAAAAAAACGTACTGTTTAATATTTGTGTGGAAACTGTGATGCATTTTTTTCAGTATTGAAAAAATGATACAGTATTCTTTGATGAATAGAAAGTTCAAAAGAACAATATTTAATTTAAATAGCGTATTTCAAGCCTTTACTTTTTAATTTATTTAAAAAAAAGTTACTAACCCGAAACATTGAACGGTAGTGTGTATATTTATATATAATTCATCATAAAACACACTTCTGTCAAGGGTGTTTAAACATTTGATTTATAATGTATATTGGTCATATAAAGTCTTGGGATCTAATCTCTTTAAGAACTTAAATTTTACATTGACAAACACTCATGACCTACTCCGATGCAATCACACTCACAGGCTTAGTTCTGTGTGTGCATGTGTGGGGGTTTATACACGTTCATTGACTTACAACTCCTGGATTCTTACTGGGATTTAACCAAACATAGAGTAAGGCACCACATCCACCATCCGCTTGAAAAGTCACACAGAAGTAGGGATTGAAGTTGGGAATGTTGAAATATTCACACAGCTCAGTGAAATGAAACTTGTGTTGTTATGAAAATGTTCATTTTTGGAAGTTCGCTTCTGGTTAGATGTTTTTGTTTCTTCTTTGTGATCAGTGCTGATTATGCTATCCGTTTACTATTATCATGATTGCCTTTGTGAGAAGCATGTCATAAACATCTCAAACCTAATTTATTGTGTTCATGCTTAAATATTAGCAGACATAATTATTCCACTTGCTCTTTATAAGGTCTCAGAGAGCAGCAGTGTCCTTGATGATCTGGAACTCCAGGGCTTGGCGCTGCAGTTTGGAGAAGCTCTTGTCTGTCATATACAGCAGAGAGTGGCAGAAAAGCCTGCAGGTACCCAAAATATCATTTGCAAAGGTGTAGTTGGCAGTTGCATTAGTGAGGTCACTAAAGGCCAAACAAAAAGCAAACTGAGATGTTCTGTTGGTGTTTGAAGGGAAGCTGCTCACTTCTTTATTTCACAAACATGCGGCAAAATAAGTTGCATGATAGTGTTGACCATCCTTGCTATTGTCTGTGTGATGCATTTGTGTTCATTTCTTTTTATAGTTTCTTAGTTGAAATTATTATACAAAATGGATGTTGGTGTGGAAGGAACTGAAAACCTTACTTATCTGTTGTATGCTGATCTAAGATCAAATGATTTTAATTTTGCTGTCTGTTATTTTTATGGCTTTGTTTAAAATAGAGGAAGCCCGATATGAATTGGAGCAGTTGTTTCAGAGGTCAGAGGTCAGAAGCAACCAAGGATGGCTTCTGCTCAAATCGATATCTCTTTTGTCTAACAGAGACTCTGTAAGTTTTACTATTAAATCTTTAATATATTCATACAATCAGCTCCATAATTACATTGCTAGTGTTTAGGTAATAACTATTATTATAAAAATTATGAATTATTATTATTAAATTATTATTAAATAAATTATTATAAAATAATTATTTTCTTCTAGAAAATTCATTTTTCTTGCTATGGTTTTATTATACAATTCAGTGTTCTAGATGTCCTACAGTAGATCTGTCACTTAAAGCATTCCTCTGTTTGATAGAGGACAATCCTGTCTAGTCATGTTTTGACATGTTTTGACGTTCTTGTTTTCTTTGACAGGAGGTTGGCGTTATGATCAAGACGGGTCTACCGGCTGCGTTAGTCAAGTGTCTGTACCTGTTTGTAGCTTTGCCTCCCCGAAAAGAGAGCTTTGTCTCTCGGAATGATGTCGAAGAGGAAGTCAAATGCTCTTTTCAGGACAACCTTACTCAGGTTTTTTACATTTTTACATGTTTTATTTTATATTGTGAATCAGTTACACCACAAATGCTCAACTTGTTCATCAAAATGGGATAATGCTTCCCCATCAGCACTTCCAGTTTCATAAGCAAAGTTGCAAAAAAATGATTTACTTCTTACAGTGTATGACCATTTAAACAAAGTTTGCATACATATCTAAATCATCTAATGCATTGGTGTTAAACCTTCACCTCTGCTCAGGTGATCTTGCAGCTGTGCAGGCATGTGTGTTTTGTGGAGGTTCTGTTGGAGACCCAGGAGCTTTCAAGCGTGATCATCTCTCTCACACTGCTGTGGGATCAGTGCAGCCCCTCATGGAGACAGCAGGCGTCTCGTGTGCTCAGAGCAGTGTCTGCTGCACAAGCTCACAACACTGTACCTGCACTGCAAGGTCAACAACTACACACACAAGCTCTAGCCCATTCATTGTCCAACTAAATGTATCTTATATCAGAGCATT